TGCACTGTATTTAGCATATTACTAATTAATTACGGTTTCTAAATTTCCAACTACTTTACATTCTTATGTTCAAATTACTAGTTCAGCTTATCAATATTATCCTGTATGAGAATAAAACATTTTCCTGGACTAACAAATCACTTTTCAAATAATTATATCTCTGGGACGTCCTTTAAAACCGGTCTTTTTTGTATGCTCCTGAATAAACAGAGATGAGGGTGTTTAATCTTATTTCAAGCATATTCTGAAAAGTTTAAAGCTCAAAGATACACTAGTCCTTAACAGTTTGGTAGTTTGTGGCAATTTATTCTAGTTATGACCTTAATGTTTCAACATCGTTCAAAATAGTCAAAAGGTAACTATTTCAAGGAGATGATATTTATTAAGCAGCTGATACTTGTGCATTCCAAAGAAAACGACCACCACTCTTTCTCTTGTTCATGTTCAGTCTTTCTAACATTTTATCACGTGGCACAATTCACTAATACGCTTCTTGCTTTTTCGGTAGTCCGTTTGTAATTCCTACTCTTAATTTTTTACTCAGTTTACTACCCTATTCAATGTGAACAGCTTTTATGTTCCACTTACATAATCCACAATATACGTTTTTCACTTCTAGAAACCCAATTGGTCATTTTAGTAGTTTCTGCGGGGTGGTCTCCCAAGTATATTCAGTCTGAAAACCATCACACTAGAAACAGAATGGTTCAGTTATATCTTAGTGAGACCAGAATTCTTTAGGTGTGATCTGTCATATTTACTGGTTTGATGAAAGCCTCATAAAAACATTCTAGCAAGCCGTATTGTACTTCCGACGAATCTTCACACCTAAAATAAGCCAAATAAGATCGGAAACGTAACTAATATTTATTTCAGTTGATACTTTACTATGTAGGGACCTGCTTAAACTTTGAGCTTCCAAAAATTTAACCACCGAATACATTTTATCATATTCTTCGTTTTCTGTTCCTTTGTAAACTTGTACCTTTCTGAAGTGTTTCGAAGCTGTTTTTCTCAAACTGAGAATGAAAAAAAGAAGAATCGTCACGACGGATGAAAAGGAACATATAAATGCTCAAAATTACAGCACAGAACTGTTACTATTATACATATATCGAATTACATACATTTGTACTGGTAGTATAAACAATCACTAACATATGTATACTGGATTTTGTATTCATCCCCAAGTCCACATAAAATGCGAATGTAATAGCAGCTGCCTGTTTCATATTAGTGCCTTTTATAACCTTTATTACTGATACTATTCAGACGCAATAGTTATTCGAAAACATTTGTTTCCCGATACCAACTTCAAACAACTCAAGACTAGAGATTGATTGGATTATTTCGAACAGAACAATTAGTAGTCAACTAGACAGCTTGATAAAGGTGCACACCAAGAGAACATAGTGTTAGGTATTAGGTAACCAAAAATATTGATTGTGGTAGTAGCAGTAGTAGTAGTAGTAGTTACAATACGAATGAGTGATAATGATAACAATGAGAATATTAATATTGAAAAGATCAAAAATTACGTCATTTTGAAAGGAGGTAAATGAACATCAACTAAGGAGCTTGACAGCAATGTAAAACTAAAGGAGGCTAGAGTAATAGTTGGACGATAACAATGATAATAACGATGCAGATAAGTCATTTGACTAGTAAGCGACGAAGTTCAAGAGGACATGATAGTACAGCAGAATGATAGTGAGGAGGTAAATATGTGAAGTGTAGGAAGAAATAAAGTGGAAAATAAGGTATTTATAAATAGAAATAAATGAGTTCAAAATACTTCCAAATCTCTACCATGGTAGATTCAGGGTGACTACCACCTCTTTCTATACATATAGGCTCGGTTTACGAACTCTAATCGCACATGCTTCCCCAATTGCAACCCTTTTCTTATTCCGCTGTCTGCTGACAAACGAGAAGGCTTTATCGGTATCAGCATCATATCGATACCCAATTAGGTGTTTCGTAATCAAACTCTGTGGGATTTTTGTTTGGCTTGCTTCAACCATTTAGGTAAATGCTCAACTATGCGAGTAGAGAGACACCTTTCCGTACGGCCTACGTATTTGCTTCCAAAAGTGCATTCAAATTGGTATATACAGTTAGATATGTTGAGAATCGGAGTGATGTCTTTTCCTGACTGCTGCAATATCAGCTTTGTGGTGCTCAGAAGTACTACTACTACTACTACCACAATCAATATTTTTGGTTACCTAATACCTAACACTATGTTCTCTTGGTGTGCACCTTTATCAAGCTGTCTAGTTGACTACTAATTGTTCTGTTCGAAATAATCCAATCAATCCCTAATCATTTTATTTTTCGTTATCAATTCTACTCCCTCCCAACCACCTCTTAGCTCTATCTGACATAGCTAAATGATTCATGCCTCAGTCAATCTCTTAGTCTATGCTATGTGTGCATGTAATCCTTTATTGAACAACAGTGCGTAATATCATGTAAGTAGACTGAAAAGCTGAGGAGCCATACTGAATTCAAAAAATACTGCTTTAATTATCTGAAACGTGATGTATTAGCGCTATACATTTCGAACAATCTGATCACACATGGACTTGTCGAACTATTTATACGAAAATTTACGAAAAGGTCAATGAAGTTAATAAGAAGCATAGGAGTAGGAAGGGATAGAAAAAAAAAGAAAACCTTACTCTTGGTATGAAAATTAAAATCAATACTACCAAGGTAGGTTCAACGTGAGTACGAATTGTTTTTGTATACATAAAGGGGGTTTAAATTTACGGATGGCAAGAGCTTCAATAAATTTAAACACTCGACTCTGACCACTTTTATGTAGTACTTTAAAGGCTGTTTTCATGTCTATCCTATGGTTAGTTTCTAGTATAGCAACAGACGAAGATGGATGTTTATCACCTGCACTTATCGGATCTGCTGAGGTCATCATTGTAGAGAAGACCAAGTCCATGTTAAAGCACAAACCGAAACAACATATAAACGATTACATCACATCCCACTGTGTTTATCAATTTACATGTATGTGTGGACACTCATATATGGGGAGGAGTAATCGTGATATGCGGTTAAGGTAGGTTGAACATGTATCTAAGTGGCTACAAAAACAAATGACCTCAACAGATCCGATAAGTGCAGGTGATAAACATCCATCTTCGTCTGTTGCTATACTAGAAACTAACCATAGGATAGACATGAAAACAGCCTTTAAAGTACTACATAAAAGTGGTCAGAGTCGAGTGTTTAAATTTATTGAAGCTCTTGCCATCCGTAAATTTAAACCCCCTTTATGTATACAAAAACAATTCGTACTCACGTTGAACCTACCTTGGTAGTATTGATTTTAATTTTCATACCAAGAGTAAGGTTTTCTTTTTTTTCTATCCCTTCCTACTCCTATGCTTCTTATTAACTTCATTGACCTTTTCGTAAATTTTCGTATAAATAGTTCGACAAGTCCATGTGTGATCAGATTGTTCGAAATGTATAGCGCTAATACATCACATGTTTAAGATAATCTTCGTCTTCCCATTACGCTGCTTAAATTTATCAAAGGGACCAGTTGCTTTAAATGCTTTAATTATGTTTGTTGCTTGCTTCAATAATTAGTTGATTTTAAAAATGTTGTACTTATCTCTTGAAACTTGCTGAATATTCCATAACGTTTCACACATGTTTCAGTATAATTTCTCTGGCGTTTGAAGCGATAGCTCCTGTGTCCGAATTCCGCTGGAAACTACTTGACTCACTGGGGGCACATCCAGCTGACGAGTCCTAAATAGGACGAAACAAGCATCCTGGATTCCGCAGCTAGCCATTATCCATCATTTTCGTACATGTTGTTTGGAATAAAGCAACCGTTATTATTGTTATTAAATGAAACATGACTCACTATTGTGAAGGATGATACTTCTATAGTAATTTATTTCAAAATCTATTAGAATAACCGGCAAATATATTTACTCATTCCACTCCTAGTATTATAAAATAGATTAACAACCACTACGAACGAAGGTGATGTCAGAAATGATAGTTATAACACCTTATTGACATTTCTAAGTGTTATTCAAACAGAAATATATACTTGAAATAATTATAGTTCTTCGCAATCAATGAGACTATGTATGCGCAATCATAATAACGCAAGTTCACCAGGGCAAAGCAGCAGTTCATACCATTTGTACTAGTTAGTTTAAGGTCATCGTATCTCAGATGACATTTGAATATTTGTTGGCTTGTAATGAGAACTTTGAGCTTGCGTAACTATTATTATGGAAGTGTCTATAGACACTAGTAGCAGGCCAAGTTTATCGACAAACTGTAAAGAAAACTTCATCACTTAAAGTATGCGGAGACATACGTGAAGATACAGCTAAAGCTACTGGTTGTCTGGTTGGATCTTACTTCTTTTAGAATAAAGTTCCGGCACGATTTTGAATCAATCCCAAAATATAAAGCCATCAAAAGTGAATTACTTTGTTAGTCGATCAAAAGTAGAGATGAATCTGTTGAGATCATAGACGAAGTGATTTTGTGATTAAACAAAAAAATTATTCTTAATTCACACCACTACAACTGTGACTAAGTATGATATAAAGAATTTAAACGTAAGAAGGGCAGAGAAGACCTAATTTCATTCAGATGTAGTTAGCAGTCGAACTGTAGGTATATTTATTGGCTCATTGGTCAGTAGTAACTCATACCACACAGTTTACCTATGATGATTAACCGAATTTTTAACGCTACCACAAAGTTATTTACCGGAAATTATGGTATACTTTTTTTGTCGTCATAAAGCCGTAGGCTTAGAGTTCCCTACTACTGTTGCAGAAAAAGAATGGTGCTGAAAGCTGTAACCACAGCACTAAATTGTTGGCATGGTCATTGGGCAGTACCTGCTAGTGGAAGACTTAAACTCAGTTGATTACCGTCAACTGATTGATATATTCTTCCTACACATATAAATGATATACAGTCATGTTAACTACTATCATAACACTGTTTCAATTATTTATTTCGACTTAAAAATACCAAAGATGAATGGGAAACACGAACACAGAAAATAATTTTAAAAAAGACAAAGCTGTCATAGTGAAGGCAGTGAAAACAGGCAAAACAGAAACTATACATGAAAAATTTATCAGATCATTAATCGCTGAGAGTCACAAATGTGATAACAATAATAGTTTTAATTTATTTCTTGAGTACAAAAAATCGAATTATATTTAGAAGAACAGATTTATCAGTCTAGAAATTAATCTCAGCCCTAATATAAATTAGATTAAAATGAAGTAGACATTCCAAGTTCTAAGTACAAAATCATTACCCACATATTTATACACATGTGCGTGTGTATTACATAACCTGTTATCTGAAATCACAAACAAAGCAAAGGAATAAAAAGCAACAGTTGGTAGCTGATAAGTATTACTTTGTTCGACAGACTAACTGATTCAAATGATTAACCAAATTATGAAGCTCAGCTTTCTGTGTTTCACTAGCTGACTGATTATATACAGAGTCAAGAAATTCACTTGAGCTAAGTACATTGAATAAGTATTTAATACGTTCAACTGACTTTTGACTTAAGTACGGTGTAACAGCTTGACAAATATTATCTTTACAATTATCTAACTGTTCTTTAAGAAAGGCATAATTATAAGTATATTCTGTTTGAGCGAAACTTATAAGTGTTAGACCAATTGTACAACTTTTGTCTTTAATTTCATGTATATTTGTATAATCTTCATCTGATAAACTGCGTTGTTGAGAAATAACTCCAATTTTACCAATAGTTTTAACCAATGATTTATACAATTGTTTAACTTCACTTTCAGGTTTTATATACATTTTCATAAGTGTATGCAAAGAGGTTAAAGCTTTATAAGCTCTGTTACCGATGATAGATTTTACAGATTGTTGATTTCGCATCACACGACCAACAAGGCGTTTTTGTGCACGAAACCAAAGTGACTGTGAATTATTTTTCTTATCTAAAATATTATTGGACTTTATTTCATCTTCAGAGCTCAGACTAATTTCGTCATCATCATCAATGTCCTTGTCAAGGTCAGCATCACATGAATTTTCCAAAGAATATTTTCCAATAGGTGTTACCATGAGTCCCGAAAAATGCCAACGATAGAATGTCTGTATAAGTACGGTTAATAAATTTTGATTTTGTTTCGGGTAACTACCGGCCAGTTAAAAGTTAGTTGGCCTGAAACGTAAAAGTTAACAGTAAAATACTGAAATTATATATACACTGATGCAAGTAAAATTTTAACTATGAAAAATAAAATTCTTTGAAAACTTCAATCGATACCATTCTATTAAAGTTCATAAATAAAATGTATCTACAATGATTTTATCAGTCAGTCAAAGAAAGGAAACAAGGAGATGGAAGCAGAATCCGAAAACTTTCTAAACCAAACACTATGACAGAAGAAATATATAAACGTATAAACCAAGTTGAATCTATGCAATGTCTGTGCAAGCAAGTAAAAAGGTCGTACAAAGGGACATCAGTCCGCTCAAAAGGTTCAACTTCCACCTAGATGACAGAAGAGTGACAGGAAGGAGACGCCTAAGAGCTGGATAACGAGGCACCAAATGAACTAACATTATTATTATTTTTCCTTCGAGGTTCTAGTAGAAAAAAAGGCTTCAGTAACACTCCTACACTGCACACTGATCTCTGCAGTCTTTTGAAAATCGCTCCACCACTGTTCACAAGCTATCATTTCCTCTTCACATGATCTCCTCCATGTCACCCTCAGACACCCAACTTGTCGTTGCCCCTTTGGATTCCACTCGAGGGCCTGGCCAGTCACGTGATGTTGATGATGCACTTAAACTATCGTCATTTCTTCACGGATGTTAGATGTATGAGCGACCTAAGTCTTTGAGTTTATAATAATGTTATCTATCCTACTCCATCTTTTTGTTTCAACCCGAATCCAGTTGCTTGACAAATTCAGGAGATGGGTGGTTGTTATCGTGCTTCTTATTCATCAAACATAATCCATTGTATAATATTTATAATCCTAGAGTCTAGAGTACGAAACAAGATGAGTAGGTACGTGCTAGTGAAATCTAAACTATCACTAAGTCACCTTAACAAAAAGATAATGTTTTATTCGAATAAATATGTGATTGCATATGTAAATCAGTGTGATTCACATTTTGTTTACACATACATGCTAATAAGCAACAATGATTTATTAACATGCTTTTTTCAGTGTTCAGTAGATGAATTAGTGTGTTACTTGTTAGCGCTCTAGGAATAGATCGACGGAAGGTGCAAAAAGCCAAATGACTTGAAAGTATAGAGACAGATAAAATGTTTGCTTTATTTTCAGTTGCGATTTGCATATTAACAGTGGCTTACTATACAAAGATCTTAATGTATATGTGAAAGTAATCTATGAACGTCAGTGGTAAGTTAAATCTTCACATTGAAGATGTAAGACAGAAGTAATAGAATCAAGGACTCGGACTTTAAACATGTCCGAAAACAAAGATACGGTTGGAGTTTTATCTACACACTTCAGTAGAAACATTCATTCACCCAAAGTAGTATTCATCACAGACTGAAACCAGTTAAAGAACCATTGAAAACCTCGAAGGGCTGCATAGCTACATCTTGAATTGACAGGAATAGGATTTCAACACATATACCTGATGGTAACGCGCTAGCCACGAAACCTGATGGCCACAGGTCCGGTCCCTAGTACGGTCATAGGTGCACACTGCCAAAAAGCCCCATGATAGGACTAAAAAGATGTCCAATGCTCCTAGGTTTTCAATAGTTCTCCAACTGGTTTCAGCCCATGATGAAATCGATCAATCCCCACAATCACCCGAACTGAATCTTGAATGTTACCAAGGAGTTGAGAAGTATTTGATTAAAATACGGAATTATTTTCTTTAAAGGAACAAAGGACAGCGTGGTTTTCATCGGCCTCCAGACTTGAATGATAAACACTGAAGGTTAAAAGAGATTCCACTACTTTTCATAAACTGTTGGCAGGTTTACAGATAGTTTAGACTACAAGCTATAAGCCATCCTCAAAAGTCGACAAATCCTACTTACTAGAGGCCATCTGTCTGGAACAGTAGAAATACAATTAGTCTGGTACACACTAGATCACAACCACCAAGTTTTAAACATACGAACATCCGGTAAATAGTCAGAATGAGAATATTCCAAGGTTAGTATTGAGGAATGGGGGTGGTTATTATCGTGCTTCTTATTCATCAAACATAATTCACTGTATAATATTTATAATCCTAGAGTCTAGAGTACGAAACAAGATGAGTAGGTACGTGCTAGTGAAATCTATACTATCACTAAGTCACCCCAACAAAAGGATAATGTTATTATACATCGCCGATGGAAACTAGCATAGTACAGATACATAACATAATTTGCGGACAGTTCAGTTAAGTTATCTTTGGTACAAGATGTTGAAACTTCCTCAAAAAAGTCCTGCTTCACTAAGGTTTCGCGCTCGATGGCACTTACTAGATAAGTGTATTTACATTCTTCAGAAAACCCACATCCCCTCAAGGGTTCAAAAATTTATTGGCTAGTTGTGAAGTCAGAGACACCACCATGCAACCTCATGTCAACAAGCACTACCCAGAAAGGTCGCTTCTGTACCTAGACGCCTGATCCGAGCGTTTAGTCCCTAATCTAACAAACGGTAATTATCAGTAATACGTGGTAAAGGTCACTTAGTTGGCTGCAGAAATCTTTCTCAAAGAGGTATGAATTATAACCCTTTAAAACTAAGTGAAAATAACAAAAGTTGACATTTCGGCTTGTAGTACGAATTTCACTTAGGACTGAATAACTGCAGCTCATTCAGTCGCCGAATTAGGAGATAAAAATACTCACTTGCTTATTACACAACTGACTAATTAAATTAAGTAGTGACTTTCTGTCATAAGTACAAAGAAAATCTCAGAATTTTATCGACAGAGATCCCAAAGAACCGCATTTATTAAATATTCGCTCCTCAAGTTGAAAGCTGTTCAAACTAGTTCCACTAATATCAGTTGGTTCAACTAAAAAATCGAAGTATTTTGGGAAGTACTACTTCTATAGAGGCTAAAAGTGTAGTCGAAAGTAACTGTAGTCAGATATTTCAGAGCTAAAAAAGTTTAGTTAGGCATGATTTGAATTTATGCAACAGAAAATATATACCATGTCATCGGAAGTTTCATGCTAATTCATACAGCATTTTCTGCTCTGAAAAAAATTAAATTTAAGCTGAGTTCTCACCTCTATTCAGCTAATAAGTGGTATACAAATAGACAGAAAGAATCAACGTGGAACCTTGCATAAAAATGCATCGCCTCAAGTTGCCACACTTCATAATAGCATGGAGAAGCGAGTGGATAGAAAAATAGCGACAGTAAACCAAAGAGGTGTGTGGTTGTAGATAGAATTTTAAAAATTAACGTATGGGAAAATGTTAGAATATACAAACGCCTTAAAGAGTGAATACATCTGCATTATAGTGAGCCCTTCTCAACTATGTCATCAAAGATCCCGAACCATGCTATCTACAGCACTCTACACGGATCACACCAACAGTCAAAAACGTTATGCACTAGTGCTTTGTCTTCGCATGGCCACCCTGAGCTCTCTCCAGAACAAATTCAACTTCTGCTAGCAGAGCACCTCGACAAAGGCTCCGAATGGGTATGCACAAAACATGTTAAAGCCAACTCAATCACTGAAGATTCGCAACCTCCTCAAAGGACTTACGTGTCTTGAGTCATACTCTTCACCTAAACTTGACATCGCTCACACGGTGATGCGACCATATGTGGGTAGTGTTACGAAAACACCTGTAATCTAAAACCTGTTAACTTTTCATGTCTTCCTTTTCCGGTGACCATGATGCAAAGTCGTAAAACCAGCCCATCCAGAAGGCAGAGCAGTAAATTCGTTGTTTGTTTGTTAGCCGGGTACCTAACAAGTGCAACAATATAGTAAACTGGCAATTTCCATATCAGCTTTCCTAAACCAAGCTTATAACTAGTCGAAAACCAACCCATTCGGGCTAACTGCACTCCCCTTCCCCCAAAAAGATAAAGTGATCAATGCATTCTATCACTCTTCTCTCTACCTTTGAAATGGAAATAGCAGTTGACCAATTCTGAAGCATGGTTTTGCATTTGACAATGCCAAAGGCGTGCAAAATACACTAGGATTTCTTCTTAAGAAGTTCAGAAGACCCTATATTCTCCCTATATTCCCTGCCAAGGAAATATACATTATGTCTTCCCAGACGAAGAGGCAACCTCCTAAAAGTAACTATCAATTTCAAAGCTGGTAATCAAAAAAGATTTAGGTTTCAAAGCCTAACATGTCGTGTCGCGCGTACAATAAACTTATTCCCCATTACACTCTATCATTATCATTATTACTTTCTTGGGTTCCTAGTGGAATAAAGGGCTTCAGTAGCACGTCGCCATTTCATTCTGTTCTCCGCAGTCTTTTGAACCTGGCACCACGACTGCTCACAAGCTTTCGTTTCTTCCTGACACAATCTCCTTCACGTCAATCTCGAACCCCCAACTCGCTTCCCACTTGAGGGTCTGGCCGGTCACGTGGTGTCCCCAAGCGGTCTCCTCACTGTATGCCCGATCCAATCCATATCCACTCTCTTCTGCATATTTGTTGGGTGATGGGTTCTTGGTTAGTTCGTTGACAGGCCAGAGGTCTTTCTTGCTTATTCTTTCTGGCCATCTATCTGATCTTCACTATCGAGTGAGCGTAGGGGCAGCTGTTGATGAGTGTCTGTAGTTTGTTGGAAATGCTTTTCGTAACGCGCCAAGTCTCTCAACCATCACATAGCAGCACTGACTTGACTGACGTTAGTGTTGAAAATTCGTATCATGTTCATGCTTCATGCTGAGTGCAGTAGATCTCCACACTGATTTCAGATTAATGAAAACGTATCTTGCCTTTCGGATCCTGGCTTTGACATCCTCATCTGTGCCACCACCGCCTGTAGTTGAAACGATGCTGTCTAGGTGGGTGAAAGAGACTACTTCCTTTAGGTTTCTCCCATTCATCGTGATTGGTGCTTGTTGTTCATGCAGTTGTTGGTTGGGTATCTTCATCACCTCCGTCTTCTCTACATTCACTTGAAGTCCCATTTTCGCTGCCTCACCTCTTCTACCAACTTCTTAGTTTTCGCC